CCGTGACAGAATTTTGAAGATTATTGCGATGCGGCATGCCGCTGTCACTCCAATACTCAACCGATTTTCAAAGTTTCTAATGCTTTGCGATCCATCGGAAGAAGATCACACCTGTTTGAATGCTCCTCCCTTCTTCCACATTTCTTTTTTAAAACTCTCGAGAAACCTGTATTGTTCCTAAGGCATTAGAAATTTTAAAAACCTGTTCAATATCAGGGTGGCAAGGGCATGCCGCATCGCAATAATCTTTGAAAATCAACCAACTTTATTTTTTAGAATAGCATTTTAAGGCGTACTTGATTTGAGCAAAGAAAGTTTCATGTGCAATTTAAAAATTGTATGTAAACTATTGAAAAGCGCGCGACTTGGGCTTGTTCCAGATTTTTTTGGGCTACTGTATGGGCAACGTTCATACAAAGAATATTCGCGGAACTAGGCGCATTCAGGCGTATTTCTATATATTTGTATGCAGTCTACAATCTACACATTTCAATTTCTTTATGTGTAAGCGCGACAATGCGCTCTACATCTGCGCTCTTCCGAGGCTACACCTAGCAGAGCGGAGGGGACATAGAGGCACTGACTTCCATTTCCCATCTAGGTAGCCTACTATGTTTTACGGTGACTCTCTAGCAAGCTTACCAAGAGAGTTGTGACGGTCGATGAATAGGTTCAGTTGTTTCTCTATAGCGCACAGTCAAGAGGAGCGTGTTAACAAGGAAAGCGAGCTGCTGTCACGGACGTTCATGATGTTGGCGTTGAACCATTCCAGTTTTGAGGTCGGTCATCTCACCAAAGAATAGTCGGTGAAAAAACGGCTCAATGATCTGTACAGACACTCACTGGTTCCAATGCTGTGTCTGCCTCTTTTCCATCATCCTGTGTTGCTGAAATATATGCTCCTCTCAAAGAGACTCAGATTTGTGGTCGTGAATCCACACTTTTATGAATGGTTTCTCTTGACAAAAGTATGATCATACCTCCCATCAATCGTTCCTGTACACTTCTGCTCGCAAGCGGGTTTGCTGCTTCCTCATTAAGTGACTCAAGATTTGTCTGGAAGTTTTATTGTGTGTTTTTTTGCTGTTTCACCATGAGCTCGTTACCTCCGTCGGCTCCTCCTTTTCTGCCGTCCTCAAATCGAAAACTACTTTCTTTTCTTCTCTTTTAGGCGATTTGGACGATACTTTGGATTTCGGTTTCTGTTTGCTTTTATGATGCTTACGATTATGGTGATGGTGAGAGTTGCGACTGTGATGGCTGCGATGATGATGCCCTTAAAGACCGATTGATTGAAACTGAGCTTGGCAGTCCAATTTTCGCTGAGAATTCTCTCACTCCCCACACGACGACAGTCTGCTACGTGTAGAAATGTGTGTTCAGTGACTTCTTCACTGGTACGCTGTCTGGCAAGGGAATGACTCTAATTTGTCACGGTCAGTAAGTAAGTGAGACTCTTCAGCTGGAGATTTGACCTAACAAGGAGGTCGTTCAGGGCGTGGTGAGCTTTTTCAAAATGGTCTTGTGCATATTGTAGGGGCACATACGAGGACCAGAAAACTGAGGTTCATTTTCGCTGCGCGCTTCCACGAATAAAAAAAAACGTAAAAATAGGTCGATGGTTCGGATCCCACCGAGGACAAAATTTTGCTTTTCTACAATTTTTCATTTTTTGGATCCATGTTTGTCTAAATAATTGGTCCTAACAAAAACATTCACGATAAACTGAACAATCCTACTTTTATGGAGCAAAACTGCTTTTTCGTTCGAATTCACCTTACGTATGCAAGCGACTCAGCTCTTCGGCGCTATGCCGGTGCCAGATGGCACTGGAACCGAAAATAAAGTCTAGAATCGTGATCAGGACTGTCGATTACCCCTAGGAGCAAGTTTTGAGCGAAAAATTTTTTTTGACTTTTTCGGGTTAGGTTTGAGCGGACATTTGTGCGGAAGTGTGAGGCAGGAAGTTGGCAATCTTGTAGAGGCGATGCGTATCGTTGGCGCTACGGACACCGGACAACCCAATAAGCAAACCCAAGAAGGTCAAAACAATTGTTTTGACCAAAAATTCGTTTTTAGTGGTAATCAGTGGTCCTGATCACAAATATAATCCTATTCTTGGGTCACGCAATTGGCGACAGAATAGCGCTGAACGTTCCCTATATTGGTGTACATAACGAATTCAGTGGAAAGAAGATGTGGCCCCAAATTGTCTATAATCGCACCACACCAGAATTACCAAATTCGCAATCAGATTCACTGTATAGCCTATGAGGATCAACGTCCAGCAACAATCTTGCTCAATGGTGCGTGAGAATCGAAATAATTGAATAGCGCTGACTCATGAGGTATAGCTACTCAGAATGTGCCCATAAATGGCAAATATCCGAGTTATATTCATGCGCAGACACAAATGGAAGCGAGAACAGCGAAATCTAAAAATGCAAAAGCTCGAGCAAAGGGAGGCCGAACAGCAACACCTCCACTGTGATGCGAAACTCCACTTTATCCGCTAGGGCTATCCGATGCTAGACACTGCTAGCGCTCTTATCGTTGATGAAACCAGTGCAAGAAGCCGTTCACCCTTGAGCACATGACCCAAGTTGGAAGCTCACTTACGGCGCTTTTTGCTATCGATTAAATAGCCCCTTTATAAGTACCCCCACACAGCAACTGGTCAAAGTTGCAAGTGACCCACGCCGTAAAGAGGCCCAGAACGAAGCAGATTCCAAAGATTTCTTTTCACTCGTTTTTTACCGTTCCTGGAAGCGCGCAGCGAAAATGAAGCACACTTTTCAGGTCCTTGCGTGAGCCCCTACAATATGCAAAACCGTTTTCGAAGCTCACAGCCCCTGAAGACTCCCTTGTAAGAATGTCAGTTGGCAAGCTGCCGTTCATTTTTGCAGAACAACTCTTGAGCAGGAAGATTTCATATGAAAATTTCTATATGCGTTTATGAGGTAACTTAGATATTGGGCTTGATGAGAAGAATAACTCATTCTAGCTCTGTTGGACTGTACTGCGCATCTTTGTAATGGTTCCTGACTTTCCGCTATGAATCTCTTTAGACGGCCACTGGTACCAGGCAAAGGAGTGTGGTTTGTGCATTGATGATACTACGTCGTTATTGTGCTCCTTTTTTAGGCTTCACGTAAGCATCATCTGCAGGCATAGCTCCTCATGTCCTAATTCTTAGTATGTGCACGAGGCAGATATTTTAGTTAGCTCCAAAACGGAATGGGACAAAATACGAACAATGGGAAACTGTTCTACTGTACTAACCCTTAGCCGACGTTGAACTTTTCTTCTCTCTGGGGTGCCTAAGATTGCTGCGCGACGAACATGTTGCTAACAAAGAATTTTAGTTACGGAAAGTTTCCCGCACGGTGTTATGATCGCATCATTATTAGCCTTGCATGTATGTTTATGACTTATCGTGTGGTGTGCATGAAGCACGCAAGAGACTTCACATCACTACCTCACACTCACCCAGCTTGCATTTGGATTCCAAAATGCCGCCCAAGTTTCAACCCGACAGGATGCACCTGAGGCACTGTCTTCTTTTCCTTCATCAGTCTGGCTTAAACGCAAAGGAAGCCCAAGCCAAGATAGTAGGATACATATGGCGCTGACGCTATCTCTTACGACACGTGCAAGACCTGGATGGCCAAGTTCAAGAAAGGAGATTTTTCTCTCCAAGATGCTCCAAGGTCCGGCCCGATGGAGTTAGACTTGAAGTTGCTGCAATCCACCGTGGAAGAGGATCCGTACGCCACTACCAGGGAACTTGCAGCGATGCTCGGCCATGCCCAATCAACTGTTGATCTTTGGGGTGGAGTATAGATTGGTAAAGTCGCAAGGCTTGGCCGTCTGGATTTTTGCTCACCAATCCAGTGGAGGAACTTTCCGGTCAACCTATATACTTGATTTGGGCCGTATTTACTAATACTACTTTTCTTTGTTTTATGGTCAGAAACCTTCCGAACATTATGAGGTGTAGTGTTTCAAGGTAGTGGAGCAGCAGTAGTGCAAAATAATGTAGTATTTGAAAAGGGAATCCCGCAATGAAGAGATGTTGTAGTTAGTAGAAAATCAGCTGTGATCAACTGTGACGACCACATTGACCTCAACACCACTCTCCGATCGGTGATCCACTGGTGATCTCGTCCGATCACCTGCTTTGCTTACCCTCTGCTCGTGCAGATGCTCTTGGAGAGAGTTTTATGGGAGGCGTTTGCGACCATTTTTTGTCTCCTCCTTTGACTGTCTTTTTGGCTTGCCTCACGTAGTGTATTTACTTTCATTTGGCACTCATCACAAGGATGCAAATTCATGGTGCTGAAGTTGACCCCATGTGAGACTCGAAACCGCTCTTCCGGGCGAGTGCGCTACACACACCTAAGGCCCTTTTTGCACTCTCAACTCAATCTGTTCTACCATTGTTTGTGTTAACTCATCATTCTCGTGGTAACCTTTGAAGCACAGACGGCAGTCGAGCAGCCATTATCCTACTGAGACAAATTTAAGTTCTATAAGCTTTCAGCTTCCGGTTTACCGCTAATATCGGCTAACTGGCTCATCAGGCTAAGCGTATAAGAGCCGTAGCGCTATTTCACAAAAGCTATTAACCTGAATGGATACGAGCGGCTCTGTTGGCATAGAGGGTTTACCATTAGACCAGAGAGCGTGAGGAGCTAATTCCAGTTTGCCGCTCGTATCCATTCTGCTGTCGAAACTTTTGCCCATAATTTATCATTCTTATGATAACACTTTGAAGTGTTCCGAAAACTGCTTTCTTAAGCGAGAGTTATCGGCATTATTTTGAGTATTAGCACTCTAGCAATTACTATTCTCTAATAATAATAGGAGCAAGGGATGAGTCCTTGGAAACCGAAGAGCCATTCAGGGGGCGGGAAATGGCAGCTTGATAGATATGACCATTCCGAACCTCTGGAGGTTTTGGAACGTACACTGCCATTCGTTCTCCATCCTACTATATAATCCGCTAAGTATGCCTGTCTGTCCGTGTGTGTGTGCCTCTGTCTGTCACGAAATCATAGCGACCGTCCCAATTGCT